CAGTGTGTGACTCTCTCTCCTCTCTCACAGGGCCTCATCTATCAGGACTACAAGCCTGTGTTCTGGTCCCCCTCCAGCAGGTAAGACTGAACAGGGGAGGAGCAGGGGTGAGCCCGTCAGTGTGAACCAGACCCAGCTGGAGAAGTGTGGGAGTGATGGGAATGAATGACTGGACCCCACACTTCACTGCCGTACGGAGCAATGGGTTGGATTACACTTTCAGATATATGCAGCCAGAATTTTGTGGGGTGAGGGGGGTTGGTGTTGTCGACCCTCCTTCTAATGATGTAGGAAACCCTGCTCGCCTTCTCCTTCAGTGCCAGGTTCAAACTCCCGGATGAACTGGTGGTCAGTCTGGGGTATGAGTACCTGCTTGTGTTCCAGTGTGTTGTTGTTCAGTGTGAAGTGGTACCTGTATTTCTCTCACCAGGCTCCTGTCTGTCTCTCCCCCTGTCTCTGTAGGACAGCGCTGGCTGAGGCGGAGCTGGAGTACAATCCCAATCACGTGAGCCAGGCTGTGTACACCACCTTCCCTGTGATCACGCCCCCTCCCAAACTGGCCTCCGCCACAGGTGAGAACAGACATCTGTACTGCAATCCTGTACTGTCTGGACCCCTCTGCACACCTGTACTGCACACCTGTACTGTCTGGACCTCCTCTACACACCTGTACTGCACACCTGTACTGTCTGGACCCCCTCTACACACCTGTGTTGCCTGTACCCCCTCTACACACCTTTACTTCACCCCTGTACTGCCTGCACCCCATGTGCACACCTGTGCTCCACCCCTGTACTGTCTGCACCCCATGCGCACCTGTACTACAAGCAGAGCTCCACTGGCTCAGCCACCCCAGTCAGGATGAGACGAGCTGCCCCTGAGTCCCTGCGGGGGTACACTGTGAAATCTTGCTTCAGTGAGGTCATTACAAAGAGTGCATTCCCTGCCTGGTAATGTGCTTACTTTCTTGTTTATTTTAATTTTATTCCTTTTCACCCAATGCCACAGTTCCAGGAAACAAGCTGTTTCCTTACTGCTTGTTGTGTAAACATATGTACTGTAGGAAATCCAGTTGTTATTCTAGTTCACTGAGTGGGGGGCTGTTCATGTAAAGACTGTCTCTGCTTCAGAGGACTGGTGCAGTGTGGGAGTTTTGGTGTGGACCACCCAGCCCTGGACCCTCCCTGCCAACGAGGCCATCTGCTACATGCCCAACGCACAGTGAGTCTCGGCTGCGCACTGTCTATACACTGCACGCTGTACTCTGACTGTACACTGCCCTGGGACTGGCTAAGTCCGAGCTGGAGCGAAGCCGGACAGTTCTTGTCTGTTGAGCTCCAGAGCTGCTCAATGAATGAATGATTTGACCCACAATCCAACACGCATAGACCACACAGTAATGAAAGAAAAAAGCACAAAGAGCTTCCATGCTGAGTGTTTTGTATTTACACACATTGTATTTAC